ATTTACATTTGCACTGCTTAACACGTAGCAAAAGAATGAGTTTTCTGCGGAAATTAAAGCGTGGAGATTCTAATTCCAACTCGACCAACATCTTACAATCCCTAAAATCATTCTCATCTCTGAGTCCCTTGCTTATGTTTATAGTAATCTCACAACTCCGGCCATCACTTACGGTAAGCTATATCTTAAAAATACTCTCTACCTTAGTACGTATCACCTCTTTTCTTTTTTAAATTTGTTGTTTTTTCTTTGACTATGATATAAGCATTAACAAATCTGAGCTCATTGGAGGAATCTTCTTTAAATAAGAACTTTCTCTCAAGCATTGGACAAATGACTTCTCTTAAAGTACTGAGTTTGGCTTCTGGTGGCAATTATGGCACCCTCCCCAATCAAGGTAGCGTGCGTGATTTCCTCTTGTTTTTATGCTAATGCCAACATTCCCATGTTTTGATTAGCTCATATAGATATAAAAAAGAAAATATATACTCTGTTCTCTAACATATCCTTAATTTAGAAATTTATTTTAGCTAAATGTCATTCTGAAACCTTTTTATTACTATACATATAGGTTGGTGTGAACTCAAATACATTCAAGAGCTGGATTTTGGCAACAGTTATTTTGAGGGAACACTTCCTTCATGTCTTGGAAACTTGACATCACTTCGTTGGCTGAGACTCACTGATAACTACTTCACTGGAAATATAGACTCATATCCTTTTTAGAGGAGACTCTATTGGAATAAGAACATAAAAATGTATAAAATTTCTTCTCTGTATATTTTATTAAAAGACTGTACATCTATATATACAAAGCAAAAGGAATAGAATCTGATATTCACGCCTACAAGTGTCCTACCTCTATTGCTTAGCTCATAACTAACTAAAAGAATTCAAAGAATTTTACAAATAAATTATTTCTATGCAAACAGTATCACTGATTTTATCTGAATAGGAGAGCTTCTAGATATAGCTGATCGTGCTTGGTCACGTGTGCATCATGTGCAAAGAATCAATGGACCAGATTAAATCATTGTAATAACACTTGATGAATGACCCTGATTAACTTGATCCACTAGAGATAAAATGGTCTGATCTCCTTTGTTTGTATCGACATTTTGTTTCAAATCCTCATTCTTCACTTCATCTGTAGACTTCGTGAAGCTGGTTCCAACAATCCCCCTCAAGTTGGAGGGGGGCAAAGTCACACCCAACTTGCCAATGATGGAACGATAAACTGGCCCCGACAAAGGTTTGGTAAAAACATCAGCGAGCTGGGTACGGGAAGGCGCATAAGAGAGAGAGATGATCCCGGCAAGAAATTGTTGTCGGACGAAATGGCAATCAAGTTCCATGTGCTTGGTTCGCTCGTGGAAAACTAGATTCTTTGTGATATGGATAGCCGTCTGGCTATCGGAGTGAAGTGTGACTGGCAGAGAGGGAGAAATTGCGAGATCGGCAAACAAACGAACCAACCAGGTAACCTCTGCTACAACTCTCCTCATAGATCGATATTCTGCCTCAGTAGAGGATAAAGAAAATGAAGTTTGCTTCTTTGATTTCCATGAAACAGGTGAACCCCCAAAACTGATATAGAAACCACTGATGGATCGACGAGACATAAGGCAGGTTCCCCAATCAGAATCACAAAAGGCGATGAGGCGGAGACATTGATCAGAATTCATAAAAAGGCCCAAACTTGGTTCAGCTAGGAGATATCTTAGACAGTGAAAAACGACATCAAGGTGCGACTGACGAGGAGCTTGCATGTATTGACTTAGATGTTGAACCGCAAAAGACAAGTCTGGGCGAGTGTGAGTAAGAAAATTCAACTTTCCCAAGAGGCGGTGATAAAAAGTGGGATCAGGTATCAAGTCTTCTTCATCGGCTCGTAATTTTCTAGTAGAATCAAGTGGTGAGGGGGCTGGTTTTAACTCAAAACAGGCAAATTCATCTAGTAAGTCCAAAGTATAACATTTTTGTGTTAAGATTAAACCATGTTGTTCACGTATGATTTCCATACCTAAAAAATAGAGTGCCTGCCCGAGGTCCTTGATCTTAAACTCAGTATTAAGAAACTCTTTAAGGTGAATCTGCTCAATAGGATCATCCCCTGTAACTAAGATATCGTCTACATAGACAGCTAGTATAGTGATCTTCCCTTCTGATTTTTTGAAGAACAATGAATAGTCATTGACCGAGTGAGAATATCCTTTGAAATTCAAGGTCGCTGTAAGCCGGGCATACCATTGCCTTGAAGCTTGCCGCAGTCCATAAAGGGATTTCTTTAGGAGACACACATAGTTGGGAGAAGGTGGTGTCATTCCAGGTGGGAATTTCATAAATACTTCTTCCTGCAATTCACCATGTAAGAAAGCATTATTCATGTCTAACTGAAAAACATCCCATCCTTTTTTGACTGCCATAGCAAGGATGCACCTAATGGTTGTCATCTTTACTACTGGGGAAAAAGTCTCTGTGAAGTTAATCCCTTCCCTTTGTATGTCCCCTCGAATGACCAACCGAGCTTTAAATCTTTCTAATGATCCATCGATTTGTATTTGACCTTGTAAACCCATTTACATGGTAATGCTCTTTTCCCTGTAGGCAAAGGTACAATATCCCAGGTCTTGTTTAACTCAAGGGCCTCAAATTCCTTAGCCATTGCCTCTTGCCAACCAGGGTGAAGGGCTGCTTGAGAATAGGATGTAGGTTCAATGATATAAGACATAGAGTTAAGCATAGACTGGTTTGTGAGAGAGAGCGCAGAAAAGGGAAGAATAGTTAATAAAATTGGAGTAGAAAAACATGATGCAGTCAAGTTAGTAAGAAAGACAGAATTGCAAACATAATCCTGTAGATAGGCAGGAGTTTTGTGTGTTCTGGAAGATTTCCTAATTTCTTGAATGCTAGGGACAATTGGTTGAGAGTGTGAGGATTGATTGGGTGAATGCATAAGAGAGAAATCAGTATTGGTAGGAAAGATTGGTGAATTATCTGTAGGAGAACAAGGCTGAAAATGCTGTGAGACTGGACTGTTAGGTGTACTGACTATGGGATAAGAAGACTGAGGTGTAGGTGAATGTGCTACCACAGGACAATCTGAAGGTTAGATTCCCTAGGGAAGACAACCTGTTTATTTGTGTTAAGAGGAAAAGGGAAAATAGATTCATGAAATTTGACATCCCTAGACACAAAAATCTTCATGGTTAGGAGATTTAACGGTTTATACCCCTTTTTTCCAATAGGATATCCTAGGAAAATACAAGGGACAGCCTTTGGGTCAAGTTTGGTTCTGTGTGGTGATGAAGTACAATCATAGACTAAACAACCAAAAACTTTAATGGAATGATAAGAAGGAGGCATACCAAACAAAAGTTCATAAGGAGTTTTAAACTTAAGAACCTTGGAAGGAAATCTATTTATGAGATATGTAGCTGTGAGTAGACATTCTTCCCAGTAAGAAATAGGGAGTTTGGACTGAAACAATAGGGCCCTGCAAGTTTCTAGAAGGTGCATATGTTTCCTCTCAACAATACCATTTTGTTGAGGAGAGTAAACACAACTAGTTTGATATATTATCCCCTTAGAAGCAAGAAAAAATGAGGACTCCATACTCCCTCCAAGCTCTAGGGCATTGTCTGATCTTATTACCTTAACTTTCCTGTCAAATTGCCTTTTAACCATAGCTAAAAATTGCTTTAGGACAGTGAATGCATTGGATTTTGTACTAAGTAAATAGGTCCAAGTCCCTTTACTGTAATCATCAACTATGGTCAAAAAGTATCTATAACCATCATGAGTAGGCTTTTTATAGGGTCCCCAAATATCTATGTGAATTAGCTCAAAGATATCTTTTGTGGACATTGAACTGGACGGGAAAGGTAATTTAACTTGTCTTGCTCTTGCACAAATGTCACAATGATCAAGTAAAGTAGATGAAGATGAACAATAGATAGTAGAAATATTTTTCATATTGATAAGGGGTAAATGCCCCAAACGATTGTGCCAAAGAGTTACATCACTTGAGATATCTGCTGAACAAGAAACTGAAAATAAACATTGATTACTAGTCCTACTACAACTTGAACTAGATGGACAGAAGTCCTTCATTCTATATAAAGATTGACTGCTAGACCTATTGTAACTTGAAAGAAATGGACTAGAGTCCTTGATTCTGCTTAATAGACTGGCACTAGGCTTGATAGAGTGAAGTAAATATATCCCCTTCCTTAGTTTACCAAGAACCACTGGCCTCTTCATTGAAGGGGCCTGCAAAATTGCACCAAAAGCAGAGAAAATGAGGAGAGAATCAGCTTGCTGACAGAATCTATGAACTGACAATAGGTTATACCTGAAACTAGGAAGAAACAACATATTTTTCATAATAAAATTTGACATGATGTACACACTTCCAGCCTGAGTGACTCTGACTCTTTGTGAATTAGAAGGTTAACATAAACAGGTTTAGGGAGTGTTTTCACATTGAATAAAAGACTGAAATCACATGTCATATGTTCAGAGGCACCAGAATCTAAGATCCACATAACAAAATTTGAAGTATTATAGAAAGGATGTTTAGGTATACCAGCACAGTTGGCAGTGATATTGACCTCAGAATTCATATCTCCCTGAGATCCAGACTTAACCTGTTGTAGAAGTTGACACAAGTTGTTGTACTGTTCTTGAGTGATGGCCCTTTCTATGGCATTAAAAGTCTTATTTCCACGATCTTCAGCTGCGAGAGCTGCATTAGCGTGTGTACCAGCACTTTGAAACCTCTTATTTTTGGTAAATTTGAAATCAGCCGGAAAACCAATTATCCTATAACATTTTTCAACAGTGTGTCCGGGCTTCTTACAATATGAGCATATAAGTTTGTTTTTCTTTCCTCCATAGTTTCCCTTTTTCTCAGAACTTCCAAGCTTCTGACCTCCATATTGTTGTCTTGCAGCCATGAAAATAGATTCAACAGGGTGTTGAGCCACATGTATCTCTCTTTATTTTTCATCTTGAATTAATAGGGAGTAAGCATGATTGATGCTGCGCGGAGGTGAAGCCATCAGAATATTGCTTTTTACACCTGAGTAGGCCTCATTCAGCCCCATGAGGAACTGGATGAGTCTGCCATCTTGATGAGATTTCAGAGATCTACTCTTCCCTCCACAAGAGCAATCACAACTACAGTGAACACAAGTATCTAAGCTGTCAAGCTCATCCCAGATTCTTTTCACTTTTGTATTATAACCAGCTATGTCTGAACATCCTTGAACTGTGTCATTGAGCTCCTTTTGCAGCTGATAAAGCAAAGCTCCATTGCTTTGCCCAAATCTGTCCTCAAGCTCCTTCCAAATCTCTCTTGTTGTTTTGGAGTAGAGGACACTTTCAGCAATTTCCTTGGAAAGTGAGTTGAGAAGCCATGATATCACCATGTCATTACAACGACTCCAAAGTTTGAGGGAAGCTGCAGATGCCACAGGGACTGATATGGTTCCATCTATGAACCCCAATTTGTTCTTAGCTGATAGAGCTATGAGAACAGCCCCGCGCCATCCTCCATAGCTCCTTCCATCAAAAATAGAATTGACAAGAATCATCCCCGGGGAATCAAAGGGATGAAGGTAAAATGGATGTGAAGAGTCATGAGTGAGAGTGATCTGAGGTGGGGTTTGAACACTGGATGCAGTGTCGTCCACTACTCCAGGTGAAAGAGTTTGATCATCAACAGCCATTGAAGAGTTTCAACTTAAGCTTTAGAGGAGAAGAAGAAGAAGAAGAAGAAGGAAAGAGGGAGGAGAATTGGATCGAGTACCTTACCGCTCTGATACCATATTGGAATAAGAACAGAAAAATGTATAAAATTTCTTCTCTGTATATTTCATTGAAAGACTGTACATCTATATATACAAAACAAAAGGAATAAAATCTGTTATTCACACCTACATTGTCCTACCTCTATTGCTTAGCTCATAACTAACTAAAAGAATCCAAAGAATTTTACAAATAAATTATTTCTATGCAAACAGTATCACTGATTTTATCTGAATAGGGAAGCTTCTAGATATAGCTGACTGTGCTTGGTCACGTGTGCAGCATGTGCAACGAATCAATGGACCAGATTAAATCATTGTAATAACACTTGATGAATGACCCTGATTAACTTGACCCACTAGAGATAAAATGGTCTGATCTCCTTTGTTTGTATCGACATTTTGTTTGAAATCCTCATTCTTCACTTCATCTGTAGACTTCGTGAAGCTGATTCCAAAATTTTGGAGGAGAAACTCCAAAAACTAAAATTGGAAAAGAAGATTTCTATCAGGATGATTTTTTATTCTTGTTAAACGAAAAACACATATCATAATGGAAAGTATATGGATTTTTCGTCAGATGGACAAAAAATACTTAATCTTTGTAAATTTAAAGAACCATAATATCCTCAAGATAAATGTGCTTACCAATATGGTTAAGCAAACTTCTTCTCGCTGTCCTCGCGTCACAAAGTGCCTAAGGTCACCTAGTGGATATTGCGGGACTTCTAAAACATTTCAATAATATATTATCAAGAATGCTGTATATTTCCTTAAAATGTTTATATCTTGTATTAAAAAAGTATTTCAAAATATTGTAAAGTAATTTAAATGTAACACTTGCAAGCAAAAAATCCTATAAGTTAAAAGAATTTTTGAGTAAAAATTCTAATTAAATAGGTCATTGGAACTTTACACTTCAATTGTTTAGACGTGCCTAGGTAAAAACAGTTTGTAGAAAATTGCAGCATTTCACGGGTCAAAACCAAATGGTCAAACGTGAAGGATACGTACATGCCTAAGCGAATTAAAATCAAACTCTAAGGGTAGTTTGGTAGAATATATAAGAATAATGCGGAATAAGGTGTATTAGTAATGCATTGATTAGTAAAGTGTTTTAAAAGCATGTCTGATCAGTGATAAGTGGTGGCCCTTCCCCGATATTTGGGCCAATTTGGTCATGGGTTTAAACAATTTTTGGGGCATGTACTGCACCAACCTTTCATTATTTCTAAAAGATTTTTTCTCATCTTTTCGTTTGTTCCCTCTTGGAGACTTGGACTCATGAAAGTTCATGGGAATTCATGATTTGAATTTTAATAGTTTTTATGACAAACTTAAGTTAATATACAACAGTAGCTAATTTTATAATTAAATGTTTATTGAATTTTGTGGATTTTTTTAGTACATATATAAAATTTATACAAAATTTATTCGATTCACATGAATCCATACCTTATATGCTAGCTCCGTTTGTATTTAATGTGATTCCGGAATAGTACTAGCTAGGTTCGACACGAAAAATAATCAACGTAATGTACAACGTGTTTTGAATTGATAGAATAAAACGACGATTCCGTAGCGAAATTGAGATAATTCAACGGTTGGATTCTATTTGAGGAATTCTCACTTTTCTTTTACCTGTTTCTTTGTCCATTTCAGACTCCCTTTTCTAAATATTCTCCTTTATTGTTGTGAAATTATTCTCGGATTATTTTCATTCATTTTAAGTCAATGGACGGAGAAAATTGTCTATTAAGTAGTGTGGCATATATAGGATTGGAAAAGCAAACTCTGTAGATAAGCTATGACAATTTGATGACCCAACAATTCTTTTCATATAAAAGCACACAGAATCCCTTATCAGTAATTGTGTGACAAGTAGGGCTACTTGCATGAATATCGAGATTCTCTAAAATAAGTAGGCGTTGGAAATAAATTTAATTAAAACTTAACAGAAAAGTTTTTAAAATTGTACCGGGGCGGGCTGTTCAACAAATATGGGGCCTAAAACGCAAGCTCCTACAATAGGCCTCAAGTTTTTTTTAAGGATATTTATACAATAAGACGGTCGTAGTCACTATATATTCAACTTTCAAAATCGGTGTATTTAGAATATATGTTAGTTATATATATTTATAATATTATACATAAGTTATATATTCGCCGGCTATTTAGGTTGATTCTCCTTTTTTTTTTTTGAAAATAAATTCCTATATAATCTTATTTAAAGTCAATTTTTTAACTTTTTGAGATGCAAAATTATTAAAAAAATTATAATCGACTTCTCCAAATAATTCATTTTCAACCTTGATAACATATCTAACCCATTAAATTTCTCTTTGATACATTGTTCATTTTAGGTAAGAATTTATTAATTTTAAGTTTGAAAAAAGTTCTTTCCAGTGGGGCAACTATAACATGAATTTTTAATATTGTTTTATAAGCATTAGAGGTATGGAGGCAGACCGTGGGATCTAAAGGTTTCAGGTTGAGCAAGAGCAAGACAGAATACTTGGAGTGTAAGTTCAGTGGCGAGACTCAAGAAGGGGAAGGGAAGGTGAGGCTGGACTCGCAGGTCATCCCTAAGAGAGGGAGTTTTAAGTACCTTGGGTCTATTATTCAGGAGAATGGGGAGATTGATGAAGATGTCACACATCGTATTAGGGCGGGATGGGTGAAATAGAGACTCACTTTCGGTATTTTGTGTGACAAGAAGAAGGTGCCACCGAAACTTAAGGGTAAGTTCTACAGAGTGATGGTTAAACCAATGATATTGTATGAGGCTGAGTATTGGCCAAAGTAGAGATGAGGATGTTGAGATGAATGTACGAGCACACCAGGTTAGATAGGATCAGAAATGAGGTTATTCGCGACAAGGTGGGTGTGACCCCTATTAAGGACAAGATACGGGAAGCACGGCTTAGGTGGTTTCGTCATGTGAGGAGGAGCACAGACGCTCCGGTGAGGAGGTGTGAGATGTTGACATTGGAGGGCCTACGGAGAGGTAGAGGTAGGCCAAAGAAGAGGTGGGGAGAGGTGATTAGGCAAGACATGACGCAGCTTCAGCTGATCGAGGACATGACCCTTGATAAGAAGGTATGGAGGTCGAGGATTAGGGTAGCAGAGTAGGTAGTCTAGAGTGTTCATAACAGTAGTATTGACATGCAGTCTCGCTTTCTGTTGATAGTAGGTTTTTAGGACTAACCATTGTTTTTCTTTCATTGTTGATCACCTTACTCTCTGGTTGTTTTTATTCTGCTTTTATATGGCTTCTTGGTACTGTCCCTTCTTCTCTATATTTTCATTAATGTGGTGCTTATGCTTTTCTGAGCCGAGGGCCTATTGAAAACAACCTCTCTATCCTCACAAGGTAAGGGTAAGGTATGCGTACATTCTACCCTCCTCAGACCTCACAGTGTGGGATATTACCGGGTATGTTGTTGTTGTTGTTGTTATTGTATATGTATGCATACGAAAAAGAACCAAGCATTTTTACTCAAGAAAAATTATACTATACTCTTTTAAAGTAACGTATCTATTAAGAAATATTAACATGTATAAATACCAAATGTTAGGAAATTTTGGCCCCGTACAATTATGGAGCCTAAACAGTTGCTTTAGCGGCTTTACCCATAAGCCGTCCCTAAAGTTGTATTGAAATATAATTTTTAAAAGTTGAAGTTGTGTTTGGATATATATTTTATTTGAAAAAATGTTAAAGTTTTGTGAGTGGATAATTTTTTTTTTAAAACTCTAAACTAGCCCAAATCCATAGTATAAGGCCTTATTTACCTGTTATTGTTATTGCCTTTTATCTATTTTCTGGTTCTTATATCGCTGTTATTATTTCTATGTTTTCTGTTGATGGTACTGTTGTATTTGTATCTTTTCGTCTTCTTGAGCCGAGGGTCTTTCGAAAACAACCTCTCTATTCCCTCGGGATAGGGGTAAGATCTGCGTACTCACTACCCTCCACAGACCCCACTTGTTGGATTTTACTAGGTTGTTGTTGTTGTTGTCGTCGTCGTCGTCTAACCTTGCCCAAGCCAGTTTATGAAACTTGAATTTTTTTTTTTTAAAAAATGATTAAATTTCATGAACAAACAATATTCTTAATTAATTTTTGAAAAAAGTAAAAATAATATATATCCAAATGGGAGCTAAAAGATAGCGAGGTTAGTACTATAAAAATGATATTTCTTAGAAAATAGAGAGTACCTAAATAACAGTTATTGTACATCATTAGATGTGATAGTTTTTACACTATTAGTACTATTTTATTCACATATACTTTTTGAATTATCGGTCCAAATTTGTGTTCTTAATTAAATTTTTTTGCTTCACCTTTCAAAGAATAAGTCCGTCCTTTAAAACAAACAAGATTGTTAATCTCCAAAATTTGGAATCTTTTCCAAACCTTTGTTCATTCTAGATTCTACAAATTACATCACAAATAAAAATCATTTATTGAAAATATCCAGTTTCCAAGCTTATTCAAACATCAAAGGGCAAAAATGTGTTGATTAGAAGAGCCGTAGGTAAGATGCACAAGTCACATAATTAAGCCATCAAAGATTTGTTAAATGCAACTAATTAACTTGGAATTTCGACAGACTTTCTCTCTCTAGAATGACATTTCCTCTCATCTAAAGCTGAAAATGGGTAGGAAATCGAAGGCGGGAGGGAGAGAGCAAAGCAATCAGATGACCGGTTCAAATCAAAATCATGGAGGAAAAGGTATTCCTAGGACTGAGGACTCGAAGAAACAGAGGAATTTAAATGTAATTATAGGTATAATACCATTGGAGATGGAGCGATTAACAGTGACTACACCAGTAGTTACATCGGAGAGGACACAAATCGAAATCATACAAGGGAATGGTGCAAGTAGACGATCCTGGGAGGATAAGGTGGAGGAA